GGGAAAGGCAGTTATAGTAGGAAAAGTGGCTTTTCTTTGATAGCATTTAATTGGAATTAAAAGATTCTTGAGCTGTAAACATTCTTTATTTATTCAGCACACATAAGCAGGCATTGTTTTATCGCCATCATAATTATGGTGTCCTTTAAACTGGCTGATAGCAGGAGAGATGAGGGATGTGCCTGCAGATTCAGATCAGGTCTCACTCCTCCTCCACCTTTCTTCCTTCCTCTCTGTGTACCCCCTCCCACACATTCTTTCCTTGGTCACTAGGGTCCCCCATAGCCCTTGAGATGAGAAAAGCAGGAACATTGTGGCCTAACCATTCCTAACATCATGGAAGTGATTTGTACCACACTCTAATTTAATGCAATCTGTAACCTCCTTGTCTCTTATGCGTACAACTGTTTTGTTTAGCTTGCAATATTCGTATCTGAAGAGTTGCCTAGTGTTCACCTGCATAAAATCTCACCCACTAAGGTTTTCAGGATTACCTTTGTCTAATTTAGAAAGCACACTCTTAGGGCTTTTTCAGAACAAAGCCTCACAAAAAACCCTCTACCTCCAAGGATTTGCAAATTTATAAAGGCTGCATTGAATTCAAGATGGGTCAGGGGGCAAAAAGGGGGTAGAAGGTCACTGCATTTTGATTATGGGTCAATAGACAACATGGCATATACTCTGTGTCCCAAACTTCTGTTAAGACAGGATTTTTAAATGTCTAAGAACAGAAGGATGGGCCCATTGGGAGACATGCCCTGATATATTTGAATGTGTTTTATAAAAAGAAAAAAGAATAAAGAGTTTAAAGAAAATGTCCTAAATTATAGTTATCCCTCATTTTAGCTAATTATTCTTCTCTTCCCATTTTCACCTCCCAAAAAGGAAAGAAGATGTGATATCAGTTAAGCATAGCTAAAGGACTATTTAGATTGTGTTGTCCTGTGTCTTCAACTAATTCAGTCATATGAGAGTTTATTATTTTATACCTATCATCATTAGTTAATTTTAATTAACAGTATAAAAGACTTCTTTTATTCTTCTAACCATGGTACTTATATTGTTGGGGCCTTTGTGATGTCCCTTACTCTTTTCTGTCTGAATTCACTTTGAACAAAATGTACCCAGCAGTCACTAAAAGATATATATATGTGTGTGTGTATATATATATACACATATATATATATGGTATATATATAATATATGGTATATATATGGTGAACAATTTGGTGGTGGTGGTGTGTGTGATTCTCATTTAAATTATGTATGTATGGGTGAGAGCATGGATGAAAAAGGGTTATTTTAATGCCCTTCAATACTTTAATTATATAACAGTTGTAGGTTAGAAATGAAAAAGTACTCTTAGGTTTTCCTTCAGATTTTCCAAAGAACTTTCCCCATTAGTAAGCTATTCCTCCAAATTGCTGTTGCATTTCCCAGATAACCATTTAAAAGACTGTGAATGCCTTGTGCATTACTTTGCTCCAGAGGAAAGAGGTCAGACTGAATTGCTATGGTATTTAAACATAAAATACAGTGAAAATAAATCAAAATAGAGCATCTGAAGGTGAATTTAGCACAGTCATATGGGATAAGTAAAGACAAATATGTTCAGATCTTCATAGCCCATCACTTTAAAAACTGGAAGTGCTGATTTTTTTTTTTTTTTTTACAATAAATGCAGAAATAAGAGGACATTAAGAATACATTTGAAACTGTATTTGCTACAGAGGATTTTTCTTAAGTAAGCAGCTTTGTTTTCAAAGCTACAATACTTTTTAGGATAATGTAGACTTTGCATTTCTCCCTGAGTAAATGATCACATTTCATTAACAAACTCAATGCATATCTCATATATACATATATATGTACCTAAATTCACAATTATTCCCTAGACTTACAGAGATGTGCATATGTGTGTGTGTAAATGTTCATTTAAGCATATCCCCCACATATGTACATGTGTTTGAGAAGCATAGAATTGATATATCCTTTCTTAAAAAGAATTTGAATACAGTCCATCATCTGAATTGGGTTCATCTTTGATTGCAGAGGCGGTTGACATGGTCAACAAATTTATCAAAGAAACCCCCCTGGCTTTTGAAGAATAGTACTTCATACATCTGGATCTGTACATCCAGGCAAACTAAGTAAATTATTGCATAACTTTAAGCATAATTGATAACAGATACCTTTAATTTTTCATCCCCATTCTTTTGGCCAGCTTTTGCATTAATAATCTAAGCCATAAATGTTGGTAGCTATTGATCGAAATCCCCGGTGTGCATGCAAATCCATCTTAAAGTCCCCTGCCTTTCATGTGTGAGCGCTCAGGGGCCTCTGCTAGGTCTTTTTAACGGGATCGACCCCCAATGTGCCTGGAGAAGACCCCGGATATGCAACGTGTGCTGATGGCCACAAGAAAGCTGTCTGTCACATTCTCTCTCTCTCTCTCTCTCTCTCTGTGTATGTGTGTGTGTGTGTGTGTGTGTGTGTGTGTGTGTGTACACAAACCCAGTCCTGAAGCCTTTACACGTGAACACTAGGATGGGGAAGTTACAGGAACAAAAGAATGTCTTAGGCAAAAAGAAAGATGTGCAATTGGAGTATTTAAAATGTATAAATGTAAAGGTATGTCTCTATGAACTTAGAGACACTTTCTAAGTATACAGGCATACATCCCCCAAATCCCTTGTTCTTTGCCTTTTTTTCTAATTGATCCAACAGATTACACCTTTAGTTTAAAAATCATACTCAATATTGTACTAATTTTCAAAAGCTCTTATATTCCCAGTGTTTTAAAAATGCCGAAAGAGGACAGGAAGGTACATTTGAAATGTTTACTAAAGTATGCTCCTATGTGCAGGGGTAATAGGAACATAGGGATGGGGGTTGGGAGGAGAATCTAAAGAACCAGGCACAACTAAAACTACCTGCTCCCCTCCCCCTTCAAAAAAGACACCACAGCCAACCTTTCTTAATGTCTTCTTAAACCCCCACCCCTTTATTTTCAGTTTACTATTTCTTGGCTGTTTGACTCTTTGGTCTAAATCTTATGGCTGGAGGGGAATGGGCGGGGGTGGGGTGGGAGGGAGAGGGCTGGCAGCATATAAGTGCATCAGGAGAAATTTTAAAACACTGTTGTTGGCAATATAAAGGTTCTGGTCATTCTACTTTAAAACAACAAACACTAGCATTTGCTTTTCCTGGAAACTTCGATTTCTGCTTAAAGCTTGTACATTTTGTCTCCTGTGAAAGTGAAAGAGAAAAACTCGGTGTGATAGAACCAGATGCAAAAGAAAGCCAAGTCGGTGGATGGTATTAGCTGTGACGAGGCATTGTTCATTGCTGCCTCTCGGTTACGTTTAAAGCCTGAAATATCACGAGATCCATTCAATGATCCTTCTCTCATTCAAGGGACAAAAATGTAATTTGCTGTAGCTCTGATTTCTTGGATGGAAATGCTAGCCTTAGATTTCAAAGGCAAGAACTAGACATCGCGGTTTGTACACACATTGATTAAGTTGAAGAGCAGCGATTACATCTGTGCTGAGTGCAACAGTAGTCCAGGACTGACTTTTCAAATCCCAGCCTCCTGAGTTACAGACGCTCTTAAATAGACTTCCTTAATTTCCGGATGTACTTCTTGAAATTCCCAATTCTCTTCAAAATTCCTAGGAAAATTACAAGGGAGATGAGGGTGGGGGTGGGGAACCATGGCTGAGATTTCATCTTGTCAAGCAAACTACCTTTTTACATGTCTGATTACTGGTTTTTTGTTTTAAGATTTTTTTTTCTTTCTCCCCCCCCCCCCTTCTTGACTCATACCTGCTCCTGCTGGCCAGACCACAGCTGGGGAAACTGGAACTTTTGAATATGAAGAAAGAAATTATTGTGCATTTTTCCTTGCAGGTTCAGAAATATCCGTTCATTCTTTAACCTCAGAGATGTGTCTATTTTGGGAGGAAAAAGGAAACATGTAGATGCCTGGGTTGCATTTATGCTGCAGTTGCAAACACGGATGAAGATTTTGCCGAATCTTGCCAAGCAGGCAACCAACCACCCTGAGATCCTGCAAAATGCAAGTGGAAAGACCCTCGATCTCACTTGGCAATATTTTGGATATTCTTGAAATCGACAATAAGCCATGCCGGCGACTAACAAGAGGTTAAACCAGATTGATATTCATCCAAAGTGATTTTGTTAAAACAGATGCCTGGATTGCATGGGGGGAAATGGGAGCTGTGGAAGAATCATCTAAACTACCAGGCAAACCATCATCGACCACTGAAATGATGTGCATCATACAGCAGCGCTTTCTTTTCCTCGTTTTAATGTGAAACTTCTGGAAGCACCTTGGGGCTTTCCATTTTCTTCCCTTTGCTGCAGAAGGCAGGAATCTGCTCCCTGGAAGTCTGCTCTGTGGAGGACAGAACCGTGGCTAAATCGTGTACTGGACACTCTAGAAAGATACCACCTCCAGTCCAAGCTAGTTAATTTGAAACGTGTACACATTTCTGGCTTATCTATGCTTTGTTATGGGTCGGACATGAAACTACCTCCTCCCTACTCGCCAGCAGAGAACAGAAATCCAGTTGAATTGTTACATGTTCCTGGGCTGGAGCCTTGAACTGCTTTCTTGGTCAAATAACTTTTGTTTCTGGTTGTAAAAGGGCATGGGGGGGTGGAGATCGAGAAAAATTGCAAACGTAAGTGTGTGCTGGGGTGGTTCACCTCTCGGTTTAACTTTGGAGCTCCCAGTCTGTCTCCTTCCCCACTCCCATAAGGGAAAAACCAGGCTATTCTGGCACGTATTCCCTTAAGCTTCATTTTCCAAAGAAAAGAGGGGTGGGGTATAGCTATTTGGGTTTGATAATGTTTTTTAAATGCTTTCCTTTGAAACGATAATAGCTGTATCGGTAAAATGCAAATAAAGCAAAAAAAAATAGGCAGTATTTCTTTAAAGGGGAATATACGGTGGCTTTTTTTTTTTTTTTTTTTTTTTTTTTTTTGCGCACACAGTGCTTCTGATGAAGTCTGTGAGTCAGGCTGTTTCTGAGCTCCGATAGTTTAATGGAAAGATTTATATACCGGCTGTATTATTTACTTTGGGAGGGGAGGTGGCAGTATAAGGGTATGCTAATTAGTAGGAGATTTTGGGGGGAAGGGGTGGAATATCAATTTTTATTGCATCACCTGTCAGGAGTGTCCAATCAGCGTTGGCTTTAGGGGAATTAATTGATGAAGGTGTCTCCGGACGAGCTCACTTCACTCTGTCATTTTATTTGTAGCTAAAGCAGCGGCGGGAATAGCAGCTGCATTTCTTTTCTCTTTCTCCCTTCACATTCCATTATCATAGTGCTCCAATGGAGAAGGAAGGAGTAGAGGGGCCCAGGTACTGATCTGCATCGAGGACTCAGACCAACACACTGGCAGACCTGAAACCGGATGGTTTTTTCCCTCTTTTTTAAAAAAACGAAAACCAAAAAAAAAGCAAGAATCAAGTCAGTGTAATTTCATGGGGTTTTTCCTCCCCCCCCCCCAATAATTCGCCTAGAGTTTGGCACTCCCTTCGCCGGGAATAACAGTCTTTGTTATTTTATTAGCAGGATGCCTTGAGACACACGCAGCATCTGGCGGAGGATTAACATACATACATGTGTATGTATGCGTCACGTATATATTTACTGCAAATGGTGGGGATCATTTAGTGCCCGAGATGGGAGACCTGAAGTCAGGTTTCGAAGAGGTGGATGGCGTGAGGCTCGGCTACCTCATCATTAAAGGAAAGCAAATGTTTGCTCTCTCCCAAGTCTTCACAGATCTGCTGAAAAACATCCCGAGGACCACCGTGCACAAGCGCATGGATCATCTCAAAGTGAAAAAGCACCACTGCGATCTGGAGGAGTTGCGGAAACTCAAGGCAATCAACAGTATTGCCTTCCACGCGGCCAAATGCACGCTCATCTCCCGGGAAGACGTAGAAGCGCTCTATACCTCCTGCAAAACCGAGCGTGTGCTCAAGACCAAGCGCAGGAGGGTCGGTCGGGCCCTGGCCACAAAGGCGCCGCCGCCAGAGCGCGCCGCCGCCGCCAGCCCCCGCCCGGCTTTTTGGAAGGACAAGCACCAACTTTGGCGGGGCCTGAGCGGAGCCGCGCGGCCCCTGCCAATCAGCGCGCAGTCCCAGCGTCCGGGCGCCGCCGCCGCGCGCCCCGCCGCCCATCTACCTCAGATTTTTAGCAAATACCCGGGCTCGCACTACCCGGAGATCGTTCGCTCGCCTTGCAAACCCCCTTTAAACTATGAAACTGCCCCGCTCCAGGGAAACTACGTCGCCTTCCACTCGGATCCCGCTTATTTTCGGAGCCTGCTGTGCAGCAAGCACCCGGCAGCCGCCGCCGCCGCCGCCGCCGCCGCTGCTGCCGCCGCCGCCGCCGCCGCCTACTACCAGGCGTCGGCGGCCGGGCCCCAGCCCAAGGCGGCGACCGGAGCGGGAGGCCCCGTGAGCCTGACCTATCGCTGCAAGCGCAAGCGCGGGGGCGCCAAGAACTGCCTGCTCGCGCCTCACGCCGGCGCCCGGAGACTGCTGCTGCTGCCCAGGTCCTACAAAGCCAAGGCGGCGGCGGCGGCGGCTGCGGCGGCTGCGGCGGCGGCTGCAGCCGCCGGAGCCACTTGTTTGGAGAGGTTTCATCTGGTCAACAGCTTCTGCCCGCCTCCCCACCACCATCACCACCACCACCACCATCACCACCACCACCACCATCGGGCCCAGCAGCCAACGCCGAGTCACCACCCCCCTCACCACCACCGACCGCAGCCCCATCTAGGAAGCTTTCCCGAGAGTTGTAGCAGCGACTCCGAGTCCAGCTCCTACTCCGACCATGCAGCCAACGACTCGGATTTTGGCTCCAGTTTGTCCAGCTCCAGCAACTCCATGTCCTCAGAGGAAGAGGAGGAGGAAGGAGAGGAGGAGGAGGAAGAGGAGGAGGAAGAGGGGGGCAGCGGGGCCTCGGATTCCAGTGAAATCAGCTCCGAAGAGGAGGACTCATCCACCGAGTCAGACTCCAGCTCCGGTTCCAGCCAAGTGTCAGTGCAGAGCATCCGTTTCAGGCGCACCAGCTTCTGCAAGCCTCCCAGCGTGCAGGCGCAGGCCAACTTTTTGTACCATCTGGCCTCCGCCGCCGCAGCAACCAAACCCGCTGCTTTCGAGGATGCCGGCCGACCTCCCGACCTCAAGAGTAGTGTCAAAGCCGAGTCGCCAGAGGAGTGGAATCCACAGGGCTGGGCTCCCAAAGGGGCTCCGGTGTACTGTCCGGCCAGTATGGGGAGTTGTTTCCAAGAGATAAGAAACGATAGGGTATCTGAGATTACATTCCCACACTCTGAAATTTCCAGTACTGTAAAGAGAACTGACCTGACAATTAACTGCCTGGCAGAGGGGGCCTCTTCACCTAGCCCAAAGACAAACAATGTATTTCCACAACAAAGAATACTCCGAGAGGCTAGGAAATGCCTACAAGCAACTCCAACTACACACTGTTCAGATAACATAGCTGCTAGGTTCTTAAATAATGGTTCTTGTGGAACAGCAACAAATTCAGGAAAAGATTCCAAAATCCCTCATTGTCTTGAATTTGCTATGGATTTGGCCTCTTCGCAAACTGATCCCGAAGTGGATGCAGGAGCAACTAAAGCTGAGAATCTCTGCACTGACACAGGCGACAAAACATTGCCTTTTCTGCACAATATTAAAATCAAAGTAGAAGACAGTAGTGCTAATGAAGACTATGAACCTGACCTTATTACAAATAAGCTAAAGTGTGAGTGCAATGATACAAAGGGTGAGTTTTACAGTGTGACTGAGAAGAAAGAGGAGGACGCCTTTTTAACCACAGCCAAGGAAGGTTTTGCATGCCCTGAGAAAGAAACTCCTTCCTTAGTTCCACTGGCTCAGAGTCAGGGCCTTTCATGCACTTTAGGATCTCCAAAACCTGAGGATGGGGAATATAAATTTGGTGCAAGGGTGAGAAAAAATTACCGGACACTAGTACTGGGTAAACGACCAGTCCTTCAGACACCTCCAGTCAAACCAAATTTGAAATCAGCTAGAAGCCCTCGTCCTACAGGTAAAACTGAGACACATGAAGGAACACTGGATGACTTTACAGTTTTAAACAGACGCAAAAAGGTAGCCAGCAATGTAGCATCAGCAGTGAAAAGGCCATTTAATTTCATGGCAAATTTTCCTTGTCCACCATCACTCATTATTGGGAAGGACGGGGATTTGTGGCCAGCATATTCTTTAAACACCACTAAGGATTCCCAACCTCCTCACAAGGCCCATCCTATATGGAAATGGCAGCTGGGCGGTTCTGCAATACCTCTTCCACCTAGTCACAAATTCAGGAAATTTAATTCATAAAAATGTTTTGGAAGATATTTTCTTGAACCATATTACCTTCCTTTTGTTGTAAACTGCACAGGATGGCTTGTACAAGTCCATTAATGGTGTTACACCCCCTTTGGAGTCCTGGTTTATCGCATTTTGAAGACAGAAATCGGATTACTTTTTTTTCCCATTGCGGGTTTTTTTTTTTTTTTTTTTTGTAGGGTGGGGGCGGGGTGGGAGAAGGGTTGGTTTACATACCACAGACTACTTCAGGCTAAAGACTCAAGTAAAACTCAGTTATTATGGTAGAGCTGGAACACTTTACTGTTTCAATGCTAATAATGCACCGGTACCTCAATTCAACTGCTACAAATAAATGTCAAAAGGTTGAATAATAAATATTACAATGAGCCATTAAGTTTATGCACTAGATTTCAGATCTGAAAGTGTAACTGGTATTCAGTGAAAGTTTGTTAGGTTACATGGTTACACAGTAAGGTAGCAAGAAGTTTCTGTGAGCCCAAAATGTAATTTTCTGGAGCTCTTATTTGTGGGGTGTCTTTTTTTTTTTTTTTAACTACCATCGTTCCCTTTCCAAGAGTAGTTGCACTTAACTGGTTTTTTTGTTTGTTTGTTTGGTTGGTTTTCTTTTTTTAATGGAAAGATTGGGGTATGAGTCTTGATTGGATGCTAATTAAAAAGCTGGCTCTTGTGTAAGATGTAAGAGAAATATGGGATTTTTTAAAAAGGATATGCTTTTTTTTTTTTTTAAACTTTTACAGTCACTCCTTGCTATTGGAAAAAGTCCTTTCTGTGCTCTCACCCAAACCTTTAAAATTGGATGACTTTTACTGTGGTCCTGCTTATGCTGTGGTCTGAAGATGACTCTTCAAGCTTTCAAAACAATTAAAACATTTCTCTTAATAGCAGGATATTTAATGGTCTAACTCATCATTAATGACCAATCATTAAATATAACCAAGAAAAAGAAACAGAGGGGTCAGAGTCCTAATACCCCAAGTGAGAAATAAACAGTTATTTCAGGGTTTTTTGGTACCAGAACTCAGGCACTTGGATTTTATTACTTTGTTTTTTTTTTTTTTTTTTTTTTTTTTTTTTCCCTGCATCTCTCTAAACTTCTGTTTTCAGGCCATCCTGTGTATATAGAACAGGAGAGTTTCTTCTGCAAGTGACAATCAGAGGTGACTATCTATATTTGCACTTAAAATCAAAGGAGTTCCACATGCAAATGGTCTACCCCTTGGTAAGGGCCATGCTGGTGTACTGTGTTGTAATGATGAGAGCAGTAAATCAAAATTATGGAAATTTGCACTGTTGAAAAGCATGCTTTAGCTTTATTTTCAATTAAAAACACTGTTTAAAATTCCTGGTTCCATACATTTCTACTTATTCCAGATTGAAGAAGGGTTAACAAGAATGAATGGTTTTGTTGACATTTTCACTTGTAATGTTTTTGCCTGGAAGAAATGCACTCATTGGGTGCAGTGTTTTGTGGTGATACTTTGTGATGAGACCAATCAGGTTTTGTGCATAACACTGGCAGATTCTTTCTCAAATAACAAAAACTTCTCAAACTTCTTACAGATCAACTACTACAAGTTTCATATTTAAGAAAGTAAAGCAAAGATAGTTGTTATTTTAATGAAAGTTGAATCCAGAAATTATTGGGCCACCAAATTATATGTATCTCAGATCCTTGTTATCTTTAGTCTAAGAAGTTGCATCTATAGACCATAAATCACAGAGCAAAACAAAACACCAATGAAATGTTTACTGTGTGAATTTAAATCATTATTTCTCATGGAAATTCAGCTATTCATTTTCCTTAACCTTTCAATTCCTACTCCTTTTGAAAATTTCCTTTTGTCTATAAATGTTGCAGATAGTTCTGGATGATCTCAGGCCTAATTGCTGTGTATGATCTGTGGTTTTCCTCCTGTTGTAAAGGACATGGGCTGAGAGTACCTGCATCTAGATACATTTGGATGGAGTAAACAGATGCTTTGGACTGCTTCCCTGCCTTTCCTTCTTGAATGATGCCAGATGTAGGCTCACTGGGTCATTTTTCTTCTTCTTCTTCTTCTTCTTCTTCTTCTTCTTCTTCTTCTTCTTCTTCTTCCTTCTTCTCCTTCTTCTTCTTCTTCTTGGAATTATAGGTATGATCAAAGCAAAAATTGGGGGATATTATCCATGAATTCATGTTTGTATATAATTCCAAAGAATAGTCCATATTCTCATTTAAAAGTCCCAGAAAGCTGAACCAACTGGTTTCTGAGTCTGAGTTCTTTCCCCCTTTGGATGGCAAGTGGCAAGGCAGAACTTAGGGATAGTGATTCATCCTAAAAAAAAAAAAAAAAAAAAAAAATCCGTCTGTAAAAAGTATGACATCTACACAAGGGAAGTCTGTAATTTCTACTCTTTAATTAGTGCCAAGACAAGAAAGTTCAAGTTCAGTGACTACTGCATTTACACTAGGACTTTCTATGTTGGCTACAGACTGTTACCAAATTATAAACGGAGAATATATTTGAAGTCCACAGAACTTGAGTTTGGCAACACTATAAGATGGAATAAGCACAAATTAAAACAAATATCCCATAGAATTTTAGACAAAATATCAGTCTCCAGCTTGAACACTTGGTCTCTAATCCTCAGAGAATCAATAGTTTCAGCCTATAGGAGCTGGAGAATGAGCAGTATGGAGGCCGAGGGATGGCAGGGTGATACCATCAAAAGGAAAGACATTATAGTCAACACAAATATTACCTCACAATGTTCCTATAGGCCATCCAGCCACAGCAAGCTCTGAGCTGGGCCTTCTGTCAGTGTAGTGTACCAAATAGTAAGTCTTAGTGTGCAAATATAAGGTATTCTTTCAATTCTTGGTAGACTTCACCTGGTTTCCCATCCTGCTATGGGAATTACTCCCAGCACAGTTTGTTTTATTTGGGTCGTTTTATGATTAAAGACAATTTCTAGGTCTTTCTCAACTGCTATAAATGTCACATTTGTTCAAAAGTTAAGCCTAACTGAGAGAAAACAAAAGTTACCTCCATTTACAGGTTGCATTTTTACATTTAAATGTTTTCAGGGAATAGATTTGTTCTTTAAGTGCTACAAGGTTCTAGAGTCACTGATTCCTGTGTCTAAATTAGCTCCATAGACATGGGGAAAGTGTAGAAAAAGCTGCTTTCCATGACTTTTTGGTGAAGCAAACTTATTTCTGGTCTTCTATAAATGTAATTTCCTAATAAGACTGTGAAGATTAAATTATTTTATAAAGAGATATATGTACTATTCCCCAGTCAGGTTATCTGCCTTTATAGAAAATGCAGCTTGACCCACGCCCCCCCCCCAGCATTTACGTTTTAGAATGGGTGTTCCTTTCTATTGCCTTACTTGATTACAGTGGAGTAATGGCAATAATGGTTGTTTATTTGAAAACCAACAACAAGGAGCCACCACTAAACAGCAATAACACAAACTAGATGGGCTGGTGTGTGGAATTTTTTTTTTATAATCTTATTTGTGTCTGGGTGATTTTCAGTGGTCCAGAGAGTCCTCAGAGTTCTTAGCCAACAAGAATTGGGCTGGAAATTTCTACTGATACAAGAACGATAGTTTATTTGCATGCAGGAGGAAATTAGTAGGTGAAACTAATTACTTAAAACCACTCCACGGTGAAAATTTTCTAAAAAATAATAAAACATCAGCATCTATAAAAGAAAGAAAACGTGAGTTTTGCTTTACCTTAAAAACATCTTCCTGCTGAAAAGGATACGTGAAAGGAGGGATTTCCCAGAGTCAAAATAGGAACTAAATAAATAAATAAATAAAGGCTCCTGTCAGCTAAACTCAGAAAATTGACCCAGAGAAGCAGGGCATCTACCTTTGCGAGTCCTCTCTGTCACCCCAGCCATCCCTGGGATTCTCCCTTTCTCGTGAGGAACAACTACTTTCCCTCTGGCTTTGGTTATGGTTTGCTCCCTAGGCTAAAGGGCATTCTGCAAACTAGCTTGGGGGCTGGGTACTTAGGGCAGATCCAGGAGGTGGGGGAGGGCAGCATTTTACCTGTTTTGCAAGCCCTCTTTTACTCTAAAATACGGGGAAGAGGGAGGGGGAAAGGAAGGCAGCTATGAGTCTTTGCCCATGCCCTAGGCCCCAGCTACTTTCGCTCCTTTTCAAACTGTGGCGGCCTCACAAACTCCTACTTTAAAAGGCCTGAGATGTTTTGCATGAAGCCCTCACAATAGGGGTTGAGGGAATTGACAGTTTCAAAAACAAGGCGTTCAGTCCTTTCCAGCTGCCGGGCCCGCTCTCTCGCACCAACTCCTGGTTCCTCTCTGCTGGTGGCGTCCTCAGCAGCACACGGCCTCCCCCCGCCCCAGTCCTCTAGCCCGCGCTCTGGCTGGCCCCACCCCGCCTCCAGGCTGTGTTTGTAAACAGGGGTCAGTGGCCAGGGGCTGCTGGCGCGGGATTCAGGCCTAGCGGCCTGGGAGAAAAGGCCAGGGACTATGGAGCCAGCCAAGTACTGCAGGCAAAGGGCTGCGGGAGTTCCCAGGGTTTCTTTCCCCAGCCACAGCTCTGGGGACTGCACTGACCCAGGGCAGCTCCAGGTTCTCAGACCAGGGCCATCATCACCACCCGAAAGATGTTTAAGTGCCGCCATTTTGCATGGTGGCAAACAAATTTCTTTGTGACTTTTTTTCCCGCCCAGATCTTGCTCTTCTCTGAACCTGTGACGATTTCGCTGATCCAGGCAGAAAAGCCTGCACCCCAGCTGGTCCTGAGCAGCCAGTAGTCCAAGCGGCCATAAGGCCGAGTTCAGTGCTCTCCTCCTTGGGCCTCCTCCCCATCTGAAACTGGAATGCTTCCCTTCACTTTGCACTTCTTTTGTGTGTCTATCCCTGCTCTTGCCGCCCAGTATTTCTCCCCTTCTTGCCCATGCCTCATCCCTACTCCACAGTCAAAAGGAACCCAGCTCTTTTCATTGCTCAGCGGACTCCAAGGCCTCCAAAATGCGTTTGGGGGAGGAGAGTGGCGAAGGGACTGGGCCAGCATGGCTGCAATCTCCTCTAGGGAAGTAGCTCAGGAGCAGAGGCCTAGCGAGTGGGGAGGGAGCGGGCACATTAGCCAGTCCCGGTGTAACTCCTTGAGTGGGAATAACCTGGGGCAAGGCTTGCTTGCTTT